ACCACAAGTAATATCTTCTCACTTTCAACTGCAACATCTTGGGGGGAAAAAAAAAAGAAAAAAGGTATGAGGGGGTTAGCAGTGATACTGTGAACTCCATTTCTTATCAAGTTTTAGATATGCAATATGCGAAAGGCAAGTTAGCAGTAAAGCAACATTAATTCAGATGCTCTTGGGACCTCGACCTTAATACTGATAAATGACATCTGTGGAAATGCACCTTTTTAGAGCAGTAGATACTACAAGCCTGCACACTTACTCCTAAACCAGAAGGTCCTGCTGACACTGGTTAGCACCAGTTACAGAAGATGTGGAAGACCTCCTGGCCTTGCAAGCTTTAGCTTTCAGTATCAGTAAATTCAGTAAACAAAAGTCAAACTTAATAAACCAGCACAGTGAAAAAAAATCTACATAATATGAAGCAGCCAACTAAGCAATTAGGGTTTGAAATCTGGATAGGCAGCTATTCCAGTGCCATCATCTAAACATCTTGGTCAATTCGGTAATAGTAAATAGTTGATAGGCTGCAAATAGCTAAGTAGACTAGTTACATTCTAGTAAATTTATTTAATGTTTTCTATTTCTTCTCTGGAACACTCATATTTTGCAAGGCACCTATCTTTTACAGTAACAATGAGATTTGATTTTCACTTTGAGGGCCAGCACACATCTTACATCAGAAGTGCATATTAAAAAAACAGCAGCTTCTTAAAGTGAAATGTAAAGCTAAGAAATTGTTTATAAAGGATGCTGTCTGCTGAAGTTATAAAATATGGCATCTATTCCCACAAAAAACACACACCCATAAGAACTGTGACATTAAAAACCAAAATACCTTGTCTGGTGGCTTCATTTCTTTCAATAGCTCTCTGTTTCACTTCTTTTAGTAAGCTCTCCTGCAGGTCCAGCGAGGTGCTTTCCCTTCCAAACAGCTGTGCTTTTTTCCTGATGACCTTTTTGAATGCTTTCTGTAATACCTGCCCTCCCCACATCATACAGGAGACTGTCCTTTGGTGCTGTTCAATAACATGGGAGGCTCTGCAAATGCAAAAAACTTCACAATCTATTCCAAATCATTTAGGAAGAAGCAGATGTATCACCCTGCCAGAGACTCATTTGCTTTCCAAACTTAGAAAGACAGCGCTTAGTATTCAGTCCCATCACTCCATGTTGCTGTGACCAACTTCTGAATGATACCTGATGAATGCTTGGAATAATCAAAATGAGAAGTTGCGCGTGTTCCTTAATGTTCCTCCAAGATGCGACAGCCAGTGCATCTTCTAGTTGGTTGAGGATTTTAGTAAAGCCAGCTTATATAGTCATTACTGACATGTAAACAGGCCTTCTGGTCATTAGAATGAGTTCATTAAGCCTCCAGAGGTAAGCATTTGCTTCCTCCTGGCTCCAAAAGGACCTGTTGCTGTAAACCATTCAGACACAAGAAGAGTCATATCATCCTGGAACTATTACTCTGGCAGGGAGAGTGAACTGGGACAGAATCTGAACAAAAACTAAAGTCTGTGACTACAGCTTCATATTTTTTTATGAGCTTTACTCTAAGCTCTTCTGGGAAAATAGTCCTTTTTGTGCAGCAGGGAAAGAAATAATTATAGTTCTCATAAAAACAAATACAGGGTGCTGCAAATCTAATTCACCCATGGCACCCAAGAGAAAAAGATCAAAGATCTGGATTTGGTAAGCTGCTGTATATATATTCAAATATATTTATTTTTTCATGTTGAATGTTACTTGTGACTTTGTGCCAGGGCATTTTTTTCTGCACACACAGATTGTTTGGCTAGTTTGCTCAGAAGTTGTCTTTATTTTGTAACAAAAATATAGTAAGACTGCATTAAAGAGAATGAGATATAAGCTGGTCTTTTACCTGCCATCTCAGGCATCAAGTTCTGTCAATGCTCCAGCAGAGGGGCTCCCGTCAATTTGTGTTATGAAGCAAAGCAAGAGGAGCAGACAACCCACTGAATGAGACTAAATCACAACTTGCCTTTGGATCAATCAGTGATGCCCATTAGTGAGCCTGAAACCTGCAGAGAAAAACCGCTCAGTCCAGAAAGGATATCTCTGTTTATGGCTAAACCGCTCAGTGTAACAGAGCCAGGGAGTGATCCCAGGCACCACACTGGTCATCATCCATGTTAATTAACCGATAACCTTCTCCTTGGGATGGCCAATTAGCACTCTCTGAGGCACAGTTCACAGGACAGCCTGCTCTAGGGAACATGCTTGCTAGCTAGTTGAGGCATGATCACCTGGGGTTTTTTTGGGGGTAAGTTTTTTTCCAAACAGCTCATGCCACTTTATTTCAGAGCCCCCAAACAGTTCCTAACCATGTTTAGGTAGCAATCTAACTCAGCCTCTGTATCACTAGCCACCTCAAAGACCTTCCTTTAAATAATCTCTAACCTTACCAGTACCTACCATACCCTGCCTAAGTCCATCAGCCAAGAATAGCCTTCACCACTTTCTAATACCTGGACACTGTTTAATCATATACAGGACTTAACTGTTCTCTTTAAATCCTTAAAAAGCTCATACACTCTGCTAGTTTGTCAGTGTTCTTAAGACAGCTGAAAATAGGAAAGAAGAACACTCAAGCTTCAAAGTTGTAAATACTACTTGATAACAAGAAGTGTCGATCAGAAGATTTCCACAAACCTGTTATACACTGTCAGCATGAAAGCTGCAAAAAATCTTAAACAGTACTGAGTTTTTTGGGTGATGTATTAATTTTCAAATTCAGAAATATCTCCACACTATAGTATACATGACCTATTCCTGAGTGGAAGTATTCAGAAATAGAAGTTGTTTTCAAATCTGTTTAGAAGAAAATTTGTAAAAAAGAAACTTTCTAAGCAACTTCTGCCCTCAAAATTAGCCCCCCAAATCAAAATCCTCGGACAACTCAACCTCAAAAAGCATACAGATTCTGACTCCTCTGGCTATTGCCTACTTCTGTTAGTGTGTAAGAACGTTTCTTTGCTCAACATATACGATGTTTTGATAAAGTAGAAACTTGGTTACAAAGAGCTCCTGGGTCACTTCAAGATGATTACAGGAGTGATCAGAAACATTCTGAAATGCTTCCTGCACTCCCCTCCAAACCAGCCCAGAGGATCGCCATACCACCTCAGGTTGGGTGACTCATAAAGCTCAGAAATGTTCTGGCATATTACTCAACACTCAGTCATTGCTATGATGCGAACACTGCTTTCATCTCACCGCAGAAGAGATCACTATACGAAGGTAAGCAGGCAATTTTTCACTGGGACAGAGCTCAGTAACACTAAATCTACATATTTTTGAAGCACAAGTTTTATTCCCCATCATATGGTAGCCTTTGAACAATGCAGGTCAAAACCACCATCTCAATAGTTTAGCATAGGATAATGAGTCATGGGAGGTATCTATTTCCCACTACTGACCTTTGAGAGTGCCTACAAAGTAGCAAGGATAATAAGCTAATACACTTAAATGAAAGAGTAGAATTGCCACATCATCTATCTACATTTTCATGAACTTAAATATTACAGTAACTAACAAATATCTTCTTTGTTAATAACAAAGAAAATTTCATTTGACATAGCTTTTTTTCTCATCCTTGAAACTGAAGAGTAACTAAATGGTAAGGATGTGATATTTTGTGAAAGTATTATCTTTCTACCAGCAAGCATAGTCTTACCAACTTAATATCTATTAAGTAATAAGACATTAATTTCAAACTATGACTAAGTTTAAAATTAATTTACAGAAATGTAAACAAAACAGACAAGAGCAAAATCGCCATGTTTTATATACAACTCAGTTAAAAGTATCTGTATCCTAGAAATTATCCTTGAGTAGAAACACTTAAAATGTTCCTGAATTATTACCTATAGCCTAGAATTTCTCAATAGAAAAAGGTAACCTCCTACATCTATGCACCAGTGATCCTCAGTAAAGGGATCTGTTACACCCACATTTTGTCAGAAAAGATATAAGCAAGTAAACCACTGCATCCAAATCTATGAACTTCCTGGAAGATCTAAACCATTTGGAATCACCAATAAAAAATTATTGATATATTGCAAACCATATAAGCAGTAAGGTCATTACATTCTGGAGGATTTAACAACTGGAGCAAGAAAAGGAGCCACTGTCATCATTGGCATTCTGCTATCTTTACACTTCTGGTAAGGGCCCACAGCACATCCCCTCTGGTGTCCAAGGGCTTATGGAGGCCCCCCAGACAGCACTGCGGGGAGGCCCTGCACAGCCGTCCTAGAGCTATGTCTGACCCCAGTTCCCCCACTGTGCCTAATCCTGACAACTCACCCATGGGCTGACATCCCAATCCAGCATCAGCCTACCCCCGTCCCCAGGCAGATGTCTGATGCCTGGGGCTGTCCTGCTCCTGGCTGGGGTGGTGGGACCAGCCTGGGATGCCAGGCTCTGCCCTGCTGCCCCAGTGAGCTCCCGGCCTTGTGGGACCCTGACATTTCCAGACTCTTGCTAAATCTTGTTGTTCCTCCATCTAGTCTCAAAAGACACTCTTTCCTTTTCATCACCAATGGTAGAACATCGCTTTAAATCTTCTGCAAAGTGGCTCCATAAAAGCAGACTATGGATCTCTGTGACATGTGTTATAGTCAGCTTGGTTCAGCTGTGAAATACTACAATTTTAAATAGCAGTGCTCGTGACTTCTGTCGGTATCTTACAGAAAAGTTGAGTAATTTCTGGCTTAGGTGCTGCCAGTGGTAGAGAAAGATGCTGCAGCTGCAAAAGAGTGTTGTCTGCACCCACACCACCCCACCTGTGAGGCACATCTGACTGTTGGCGCCCTGTGGCACAGTCAACGCAGCATCAGGCTCCCCCTGTGCCATTTTTGCCGTACCACGAGATGGCAAAAGATTCTTGATGGAAGCAAGTCATCGTCTGAGACATACGTAAGCACCAACTTAACAGCTACACAGATGTGTGACCTCAGCCTATGCTGACATACCCAGGCAGTGCAGCTACTAACAGCACGGCACCTGTGATACCATGGATTTCAACAGGTAGTCCGCTGGGGGATATCCCCTTGGGATTGAACAATTCAGTTGTAAAGGATAAACCAGCTTCTGCTGGGTACGCCAGGATGTACAAGACCTCTGAAATCACACCTTTGAACTGCAGTGCAATCAGAGCCACTCTATTGATGCACAACAGCAGGGAGAATCCGGTTCGCTTGCTTTTTACCTGATGAAACGGAAACCAAATTTAAATCACCTGTAATAAAATACACATATAGCTAATTTTCCTTCTGCTAAAGTGGATAGAAACACTGATCATGAGTCAGGAAGTCACTGTGATAAGTACTGCGCAGACTGCTCTGAGTTAACATTATCATTACAGTGGTAATGTAGTAATGTCTAGAGAGAGAGCAATGGAAGGGCTAAAAGGCTTTAATTTACAGCTGATGTCAAAGTTATAAAGCAATTAAAAATCCTGGATGGGTATCGTAGAATGTGGACTTGCTGAAAACCAGTGCAAAATAGTTGGAAAGAAGCAAGATGACAGTGGAATATGTATCACAGCAAATACCTAGATTACTCTCTCATACTTTGTATCAACTTTTGAAATGATTTTTTAAAAATTATGTATAGTAATAACGTAAAACACTAATAAGTGCAGGCTGTCAAATAGTATTTTACAATACATATCAAGGGGTATGCTGGAGTACATGTTAAAATTTAAACCTTCCATCTGCTGTTTGTATGACAGTATTGTGAGAAAGATAGAAATGGAATACTTTTTGCACTAATTAAAACTCCCTGTTGAGGTTCGAGTCGTTCAGATTTCATATAAAGTGTTGTTATAGCAAGACAGTAATAAAGATGAGTTTTGGAATAACTGAGACAAAAAGGACTGGGAGGTAAATATATATGTTTGTCATTGCAGATAGCACAGAAGATTTTTGAGGTGGTTCAATGTATGCATATACCTTATGATACCAGGATAAAAATCATACTTAGGGCACAAATGCTTCTGCCTTTTCTGGAATACTAGGATACAATGCTGTGAGTGGAAAAATGGAGGAAGAAGCAAAAAAAAAATCCTCATTTTTTCAAGCAGGCCTTCTTAAAAAAAAAATTCCAAGAAGTAGGCTTGAAAGGACTGTAAAGAGGAAAAGTGCAGTTGTTACATATCATTGTTGACCTTTTCTAATAAATTACTGGTACTTCTCTTTTTTTTTTTTTAAATATTACTTGATTTTAGCAATTTTATGGCTTCTCTTTGGTGTTCTAAGAACATTTAGCAAACTGTTACAAAATGAGATAGCATGAAAATAAAAAATTACAGTCAAATAAACTAAAAAAAGGACAATATTCTAAAATAAAGATAGTTGAAAAATGTAATTATCAGGTTGATAGTGCCTATGTAAGTTTATAATATTGTCAGAGTTGAGATACTCTCTGAGTCTAAAGTGCTATAGCCACAGGAATAAATGTGCTGCCCATGAACATTCCTGGATGTCAAGGCAAAATTGTATGAAATGGTTTGCGCTTGTGTTAGTAAACTGACTCTGCAAAGGCAAGGGACAGCATAGCATGCCTGCTGGGAATGGCCTCTAAAACATCCTAGCTCCAGATCTGTGTCTGGGAATTGTTCGGGAGAATGCTAATTGGTATATGCCAAAAGGATATGTGGGTCCTTCTGAAGTGTCCTCTAGTGCCTGGATAAACTTTCTGAACACCATTTAGTTTACTAATATAGGCATTACTGGGGAATTAATTGTCCTAAGGTCACAACTAATTTGGTAATGTGTCATAAGCCAGAAAGGCTATGTCTCTTGCTTGTTACTGCAGCAAGTACAAATCCTCCAGGAATAACAGAAGCATACATATTTTGGGTGGTCCTGATGGAAATGCATGCAATCATGGCTTTGCAAAACATGTGAAATCAGAATTCTAACCCAAACCATTCTTCAATGTTTTCTGGTTCTAGTGGCATGTTAAGGTATCTTGGTGTGTCACAAATCACCATGACAATTTAAATTCCACCAGGCTGTTCTGTGCCATTTTATGTGTTCTTCTAAGAAACAACATACCATAAGATGCAACTTTAGAAATAAAGCACACATTGACAAACACCATTTAAGATATAATAGAAAAATTCTTTTGAAATACCAAGAGAAAAGAAATATACTTTCTTCTGAGCTTGTGGTCAATTCTGGTAATACCAGTTAGGAACCACACAAAAATGTTGTTCATGCCAACATGACTCACCTCTGTGGTTTTTATCTTGAGGAGTAAGACACCTTGAAATGTCCAAACGTTGGCAGAAAATTAATTTGTTTTCATGTAACACATAAATTTTGTAGATCATGAATAATGACATTCCTTTGTTTAAGGTAGGGCTTGTGGGCAGCACTGAAGCACAGCAGTGTTGCTTCACCTACTGTACTGCTTTGAAAAAAAAAGAAAGAAAAATACCTGAATGCTCTATGCTAGTTCTTCACACCCACAAATGCCTTAGTATTGGTTACAGTGACAGTCCCTGGATAGGTCAAGCAACAGTAGACAAATATTTGAAAAGTAAAGCTCCATTCGCCGTTAACTTATGAGATTCTGGGTTTTAATCATAAAACTGAGTCTCTTTTTATTTATTTTTTTTTGTATTTCAAAGGCATATCTGTTAAAACTTCACTAACAAACTGGCAGAAATAAATGTTGCAAATCCACACATTCCTGCACCCAGAACTGGCTACTGAGTGCTTAATTACATCACACTAAATGTTTGACTACAAAGAGAATTTTCTCTGTATTTCTGTGTTGTAATATCTAGTTCCAAGTGGTCTTGGGTCTTTCTAGAATAACAGAGGTCACAAGGGTATTTCAACATACAAATCACAAGCTGCTGCACATCTGATCTTCTATTCCTGTGGCATTTTAAGGTGAGCTTTCTAGAGCTCAGAAAGCATTTATATCACACCTTAGCAATACTTCTGATTTGGATGGCTGGCCATAGCAAGATTAAAGAATGAATATGCATTTTAGCAAATGTGCCACTTTTTCTGGTAAGCATTTTCCTAAGGTGCCTTCTCCCTTTGTATAGAAAGATGGAGTATTTGATGTCTACCAGCCAAAGCAGAGCGTTTTTAAACGTCATACATAACGCTTTTCAGGCTGGTTTACCTTCTTGATGAGAGTTTTTTGGATGTGTTTGATTTTGAAATCTTTTGAGATCCTTGTGTAGGGGGAAACACATCCAGTTCTAGTCTTGTTCAATGACTGAAGTAGATCTCCATTCTACAACTACCACAGAATAGAAGCAGGTTATTCTGGTAAACTGAGGTACCAATCCAGTTTAAATTCCCTGCATAGGTTGCGTGGCGTGGCATGGCATCAGATGAATATAGAGGATGAGTAGATGTTCTGAAAGTTTATGTTTCATAGCAAATGCACAGCCTGATTTTACAAGCTTTCTTAACAGTGGGTTAGAGAAATAAAAACATCACCTGTAGAAAGTACATACAAGTTCTGCAATTTATGATCATGTTAATTACAGGAGTGCTATTAAACCCTAGATACAAACCAGTACAAACATGACCTCAGAAAAGCATGGCCCAAGCACAAACTAGCAGTGACTGTGTTATACAAACTGTTTGTAAAACGGACAATCTCTTCTGAAAGGTAGGTTGAAGAAGCAGAAAGGGCAGAAGAAATGGAAGAATTTATGAAATGTGCTTGCCTTTTTCTTCATACTTTTTGTGAAATTTGATTCAGGGTCTTTCTTAAAGACTTATTTGGAGTACTCAATATGTAAATTGGAAAACTAATGGCAGATGTATTGTAATTGTAGTACGTGATGTGAGCTCTCCTTTCTGCCTTTATGGGAGCTTGTAGTGCATTGTGAAGCAATGTGGGTCTGTCAGTGATTTCTGGTGGCTCAGCAGGGCTATTGTCAATAGGTTTATATTTGCTGCATATAGGCCTACATGTCCACCAGAAAAAAAAAATAAAAATATGAGGACATATAATGAAGTAGTTTAAAACCCATTAATTACCAGAATTGGTTTTCTGGTGTGCAGACTTGGAATTTATCACAACTGTTCTGTATTCTGTTAATTTCTCCCATGAACACTTATATGAAACTCATTCATTAATATATTAAGAAAATGCAAACACAATTAGAGCAAACTGAGTTCTGTATTCTTTTTGTGGAAATATTTGGAGTAGTTACCTAGCATTAATAACTTGTACTATGGTAGCAAAAATAACTACTGTGTAAGACCAGAAATGGTAAAAAAAGACAGAAAAACATTTCATACCCTTTTGTAGAACCAGCAACACACTCTAAGCCTACTCAAAAGGGCAAGATTTGTACTAGACCAGATTGACACATCTGGGAGATAGAGGCATTTGGGCACAAAGGCCTTTCTTCAGGTCTAAAATAGAAACAGCAGCCTTTAAAGATGAATAGAGGCTGAGAATATGCAAGCTGTGATCTCAAGTTGCATATCTCAGGCCATATGAGAGAAAAGGTAGTTGGTATTTGTGAAGCAGAGGAATTGCAAAAGGAAAAGGTGATAAGTAGAAGCTGATTTTAATAAAAATGCAAGACTAGCAGCACAGGACTATAGCAGAGCTCTAAAGCAGAGATGTATTTAAATCAATATCCTACCTTAAGCAATGGCCCATACAAAAAGAAAGTTCCCATGACTGCACAGTTCATGGTCCGTTGTCACACACCACTGATAAATACTAACTACCTACCAATATGATTTCACAATATTAAAGTCTCACGCTAAGGTTATTTTATCCATAATCAAGACATATATTATTACTACTACTATTCAGAATACAACTAAATGTTTCCATGCTGACATACTCAGAATAGATAGGAAAACAATACAGCAAAAAAGAATATAGAATTGCCGTGCACCAACATTCTCGATCCTTGTTAGAAGAGCACCAGAACCACCTAGTGGAATTTTTATTCATTACAATGATTCTAAAATGCCGTCTTTTAACCAGTATGAGCAGTAAGTGCTTCTTTATGGGGAAGTTAATGTGTGTTATCACCACTGAATCACAGAAGTTAGGGCTGCAGAGACTCCTACAGCTTTCTGACCTGTCTTCCTGTCATACAAGGCTATTACTCATTGTTTTTCACCTACTCTAAATGTAGCAACGGATAATGTCTATACTGCCCATTCCGAGAGACAGTTTTCTAGCTTTTCAGATGTCAGGAAC